ATTGATGTTAATACCGTATACTTTCCAGTCCAGAAGCTTGAAAACGTCTTCCAATGCAGCGGTGAAGATTTTCGGGGATATAACGTCACCCTGTCTTACACCTCTCTGCAATTGGATAGCTTTCGTACTCTGGTTCTGTACTCGGATAGCCATCGTAGCCCTACTGTACAAGCACTTCAGCACTTCGATATACCGACAGTCCGACAGACCGACGCTGAAGGGACTGCAGCACCGCCCAAATTTCGACGTAATCAAAGGCTTTCTCATAGTCCACATACGCCCGACATAGTGGCAAATTGTACTCCTCGAATTTCTGTACAATTTGCCGAAGGGTGTGTATGTGGTCTATGGTGCTAAAGCCTTTTCGGAAACCGGCTTCTTCGAGAGGCTGGAAGTCGTCAAGTCTGCGCGCGAGATGATTCGTAATGACTCTCGAAAACAGCACGTAGACGCGGCTCAAAAAGGAAATCGGTCAGTAGTTCTTCAAGAGAGCGTTGTCACCTTTCTTGAAGAACAAGACCACCGCACTTCTGCTCCATGCCACCATGGAGGACGGAATTAAAGAGCTTCTGAAGGTTTAAATGAATTGGTTTTTAATCTGGAGGTAGCCGTGGTTAACTATGACATTGGGACGTCATACACCTCAGTCCCCCCCGTGACCATGGGTGCTGTAAAGTGCTTGAAACGTCGGGAATGTAAAATAAGTTAATATACGCGATAAAATCCGTAAAATTAGTTTCATTTAAATGTGTAGTGTTCGCGTAAATATAAGAAATCACTAAGCTTCTGAAGGGCTTCAAGTACCGGTCTTCCACCCGCTTTCAGAAGATCCGCTGTAATTCCATCCTCGCCTGGGGCCTTGCCGTTTTTAAGGTGCTGGAGAGCCATTCTAATCTCGCTCAGACTGACGTCCAGTATATCATCGGAATAGTGTCGGATAAAACTCGCTCTTGGATCGTTACTCACACTTATTAAGTGTGGCTCCAAGGATGATATGTACAGCTGCCCATAGAACCTCTCAATCTCACTCAAAATCTCAGGTGTCATGGAAACGACGCTGCCACACTCGGTCTTCAGCTTCGACAGGTGGCTCTTTCTGGCAGACAGATCTCTAGCAAAGACTTTTGAGTCCTGGTTTCGCTCGATCGCTTCTTTAATACGAGCAGTATTAAAGTTGCGTAAGTCCCACCGCATGCATTTGGAGATCTGTCTGCTGTCAAATCTACTGAAGACTGCAGCTTCATATCCCGTCTAACAGCCATGAGATCAAGAGTGTGATCGGAGATTTTTTGTGTTCTTCTGCGGCGGGTCTTGCAAAACTTAGCTCCAACCGCATGGACAGTTTCCACGAGATTGTCATTCATATCGTCCACTGCATTGCAATCTTCTAGGCACTGAAAACGGTTTCGTAGCTCGAACTGAAAGGTTTCGGGACTTTGGATTAGAGCACGAGGGGGAAGGAGCGTTGACTTCATTAGACGTGACCTCTCCAACTCAACGGTTAGGTTCAATGTGCCTCTCACCATTCGGTGTTCGCTACCGGTTTTGACCCTCGCGATCACTGAGACATCACTGAACAGTTGTCGTCTGGTCGTCATAATAAAGTCAATCTCATTTTTTGTCAAACCGTCGGGGCTCGACCAGGTCCACTTCCTGTGGGGCTGCTTCTGGACGAAAGAGTTCATCATAAAGAGTCCCTCTTTCACAATGAAGTCGGCCAGCTGCTGGCCCCATGGGTTCCGTTGCGCTATTCCGGAAATTCCCTACTTTCAGCTCACCATTCTCTCTTGTGCCTAGTTTTGCGTTGAAGTCTCCGTTTGGTGATTCTGTGTATAAGGTACGCAACCCTCGTCGACACACTCCCATTCTTTACAACGTTGTTAACAAGAGACTTGTGGACGATAAATCCGACACCTCCTTGGGACAGATGGTTGCCCTCCTGGTGATAGAACAAATTGCCGGATTCGAGGATAACCGTGTCCTCCCCCTCTCTTCGGACTTCGGATAATCCTATGACATTCCAGCGCAACTTGTCCATCTCTTCTTCCAGCTCCACGATCTTCTTGTCAGTCCTCAGGGTGCGTGCGTTATAAGTTGCCAGGTCGAGTCGTCGTAGGTGGCAATAGAACCTCCACCGGAGATTCTTAGCACCTCCTGCCCCGCCGTTACCATGGTCACCACCGTAGCCAGGAATAGCGGGGCCGCCGGGGACTGGGGGCCATCTCTTCGTTACTTTCATGGGGGGGGGGGTATATTGCCATAGTTGCCACGCTTGGCGAGCGGGTTGGCAACCGCAGTTTTTTATTGTTGTTTTACTGTTATCAGAAAGATGCTGCTGCCCATCTTCTGCCCCAGTTTCCCTCTGTCGCCTTTTACGACACCCACGGGAAGATATAGGGTAGTGAGTGTTCTCCACTGCCACCCGTGCCACTACACGGGTTTTTGAGTTATTACTTACAATTAATACTCCTAGGAACTAAGCTAGTCAAACAATTCAAATCAAATATACACTTTTATGCCTTTTGTTCGGCGAACACAGCTGAAGAAGATTCGGCTGCATTCATAGCTGAAGACGATTTCAGTTTTACTAAATTCTTTACTTCTATAGACAATAGTGATAGCCTTTCCTGTCCCATAGAAGTCCTTGGAATTTTTGCTCACACACGTTTGGGGCCCCTGTAGCCCGGGGGCCCCGTATCATTGATACGGCTGATACGGCGGTAGCTACGCCCCTGGTTCTAGGTTATATTTTATCTGAAAACTTGGTGATTTTTTTGGCTCTGACTATCTTAAATTTTTAAATTAATAGGTCCTACCCAGGCGAAGTCAGGACGTATCACTAGTATATTTATAAACAGAATAAAACGAAGGGTCAATATGCTATTTATTGCCTAGCGATACTGGTGACAAAGAAACGTTTTGGATATCTTTGTTTTTGAAGTGAAAATTTCTTTAGAATCGTTGTGATTTGAAACTCGATGCAAAGAAAAAGCGAACTAAAAAGAGACGAAAATATACACCCATAGGGTTTAGCCTGTGAGAGAACGAGATAGAATACAGAACACTGTATTTCCTATACTCGTCTCATTGTCTCGAAGTTTAGTTTTTCGAAGGTTTCACTCCTACCGCGTGTGAACTGCTCATATGTTTTTTTATGTTACATTTATTGATATGAAAGACGTTTAAGTGCCGTGTAACCTGAGTAGCCTGCATACTATAAGATAACTTAAATCCTGTATTATGCTGGGAAATATTAAGTTATAACATTTTGTGTATTGTGATGCGATTTTAGATGCCGAGTTGCGTATTGTTACACCTAATTCCAGTGTTAAATTAAAGCTGAAAATCAACTGAAGAATAAAGCCAATCAGATTTAAAATTAGGCCAGTTTGTTAAGATAAAGGAAACTTAATAATTATTATTTAATTGAAAATATCAGTAGGTAGTGATAAGCTAATTTGAACATATTTTTTAACATTTCCACGTGCAAGTTTAGGTCTTGTTATGCCTGAAATGGAAAGCACGGGTTAGGTTGTTAGTAATTGTTTATCATTTGTAAAGACCTACTTTTCCTGTATCCGGTGCGTTTATCGATGGACCCTGTAATGAATATATAATAAAAGCATTTGAAAAAGATATACCTCAAACCATATAGAAAATTCATAGTGTTACTCTAGTATTGAAGATAATGTACATATATCCTGCCTATATGAATAACTTTATTTACATAAGTATAATTTAATATATTAAACAATATTCAGTGATGTCCTTGCTGTTCTCCGAAATTTCTTAACACTATAAAAATCATCACCTCTGTTAGATTTTAATGAGGTCCAAACTAATAGGGATAATAATAAAGCCTTATGACTGCACCGGTCGTGGGTAGTGTTGCCACCTTACTGCCAAGAATATTGGACAGTTGTTTTTAAAACATATTTCTTAACTGACATCGAAAAAAACTTTTTTGTCCTTGGCTATACTAATTATATATTATATAATTAATCCCTAACAGATTGTGTTTTTGACAATCCAATCTCAAATTTTTATCAAAATTAATAAAATCTACTTACTAACAATTAAATTAATATGTAAATTAATTATTTTGTGGAAGTTTACCTATGACGTTGAATAAAAAGTATGGTTACCTACACTATACACAAAACAGAATAGATTTTAATAATTTATTGACCAGACAGGTGTCAGCCCTAAGAAATAAAAGTAAACCTACTATAGAAAACAAGTACGGATGGCTTTCAATATTTTTGGTCATTGTGAACTTTATGTGTAAACATACATTTAAGCTGTTGTCAAAGACTTCTATGTATACTAGTAGACGGGCTCTGTCGCTTTAATACATTGCGCACTAAGTTACGGTCAATTCCCCGTAACTCTTTTAGTAGACTGCGAGCGGGCTGGAAGACTAGTACTTTGTCTGCCGACTTCCAAAAAGGAGACGGTACTCAATTCGAGTGTGTTTTTTTTATGTGTGTTACCTCATAACTTTGTACTGGGGAACCGATTTCCATGATTCTTTTATTATATTGATCAAATTTTTTATATTAACCATTGGTCTGACCTTGATCAAGCAATTTGATCAAGGTCAGACCAATGGTTATTGAGTTATTCTTAAATAACTTATATTGAAGTCGCTTATATTGAAGTCGGCTGTACAAAATTTTTATTTTTAAATTATTTTGTAAACTGCGAACGTTTGTTTTCGACAATGTAACACTGTTTTTGTTTTATGTGATTAAGAAAACGCTGTCATTATTTATGTGCGCACTTTGTCAACGTGATTTTAAGTTTTTATCAGATAAGTATTTGTCTTTATTTCGTATTTGCCTGAAATAAAATAAACAGTAACTGTCGTAAATGAAAATATATCTGCGTGGCATATTTACCGTGCCAGCTATGTCTATGACACAGTTTTTGTTCTGAATTGCCGGTATAGCAGTATATACAGAAGTCTTTGGCAGTTACGTTCTTGAGCAAGTACTGACCGTCTCTGTAGCCGGCGCAGTAGGTGTACTGCGACGTGAACCTTGCAAAGAAGTCGCTGTACGATCTGATGCATGTTTCTTGGTCGACGACTGGCATTTCTACAAGTGTCAGTTCCTCTGTTGCAACGCCGGTTTCGTCGAAGCCCCAGCCTACCACCTAATCGGGAATATAATAGCAATGTATAGTTGTTTTCAAATCAACGGATGTAAGGTGAAGAGGGATTGTAATTTTTTTTATAGAATAAGGCTGACAAACGTTCACACAGTCCATCTTACGGTTGGTGGATGCTGTGGCCCATAGACATATTATACGTCCATCCTCGATGCGTTGTAACCTCTGAGGACTAAGATGGAATGTCTCGTTTCCGGTAAAAAGGGTATCCGATAGCTGCAGCATGTTTCTACGCGTAAAACTGAAACATGACATTAAAAAAAATCAAAGACCACATAGTTTTTTGCCGGTTATTCTTTGAGAAGGTCTTGTTTCCGAACCGGTGTAGATTTTTACAAGCAAGCCTACATTGAAGAACATTTTAGAATTTGAGTTTGAAATGTATCTACTCTTAAAATATATGCTACCAAAATGTTTTGAAAATTATACTGGTTTAAATACATCTTTAATATAAATAAAATAAACAACCTGTTAATTGCGTTTATCATAACTTACCATAAGTTGAGAAGATAAGGAAAATATTAAATAACTAGCTGTGCCCGCGGCGTAGCTCGCGTATACAGGTTTTACATAAAGAATTTGTCGTTTAGGTAAGAGAATATTAAACGATTTATTTCATTACTGTATCAATAAGTGGTAACTAAATAAATCATTATCATCAAAGTTCTAAGTCGTTTATGATAGAGCTTCTGTGTAAACGACGTTAGAAGTAGGCTTAGCCGGGGTGTACACAAAAAGGTTACGGGGCCTACTAACGCGGGAAAAAGCAACATAGAGTTGGCCATGTGCAAAACAGTCAGTACTGAGGTACACTCCTACAACGCGTAAAGTTTGACCTTGCGCTTTATTTACGGTCATCGCATAACACACGCTCACTGTAACTGGGAACTGAACGCGCTTAAAACTGAAAGGAAAGTTACTTCTTAATAGAGGGTTTTTGGGCAGTGCTGCCAGATAAAAAAAACTCATTCAGCTCTAGGACAACACAAAAAGCGCTAGATTTCATGAAAACAGCGCTTTAAAAAAGCCCTAGATTTCGCGCTAAATTAACTACAAACAAAGTTTGTGTTTTTTTATATAATCATAATAAAGAAAACAACATTAAGTTTTTTTTCTGGCAATATTTTTTTGATGTATCAATACTTCGCAGGACATCGACTTATAATTAAGGCAATTGCTGTCAACAGTAGTTAGTACTGTACGAACAATAAAAATGTCATTAATTGTTTTAAAGTGCAATGTATTTCGCAACTTAGTTTCAGATGTCAGCATCTGATTGCGGTTGCTACACAGTTTCTTTGTGTTATAACTTCTAAGTAACTTTTAACTTAGCTGTGCTCTAAGCAACTGACTGAAACTGAATAAAGCAAAATAAATGCGTTGCCAAAACCATGAACGAAAACTTTAATAAAGGGGATTTCCCCGCTTATAGTCGTCGGTAAAAAAATCAAGTTGATCATCTTAAAGGGGAAGCCAGGAGATCCATAGCACAGGGTATCCTAGTTTGGACTCGTCTCCCATGCTCTTTGTTTTGTGGAAAAAATATGTTTGAAAAAGATAAACTGCAATGTACTATTTGTGGGAAAAAATAATAAAGGTCATTATTATTATTATCGGTAATGTGGACTAACAGTGCTGCTATAAAAGAGTTAATAACCCGCTAGTCGCTAAAATATTGAAATGTGTGCTAAATACACCAAAAAGCGCTGGATTAAGCTAGGTGCTAAAATTTCGAAATGCGCGCTATACATTCCAAAAAAGCGCTAAATCTAGTTCCCAAAGCGCTAAAATGGCAGTACTGATTTTGCGTATATTATAAATACAATATCACGACATTTCGTTGCAAAATTTTTATTTATGGTCGGGTTCCGTTGTATAGCTTCGATGGATACAAATTTCTTCAGTAAGTCTCAATACGATTCATTGGCGAAAAATCTCAACATAGCAATTCAGAAAAGTTTGTAATTTGTACAACTCCATCTATTACGTCCTTTGTGTGAGAAAACATCCTTTTTAAATCTCTTTTTGTGTTTTAAGTATAAATATATTAATTATTATTGAACGTTTTTTTTACACACAAATCTTTTTATTACTATTTCTGAGATTTTATGGCGCCATTGAACAAATTCGAACCTACATTTCAAAATAATAATCATTACTTTCGATAGAATTAACCAATTTTAATAAAACAAAGATTAAATATAACTCGAAGATACGCTTTAAGATTTTCTTAACGATTTCTTTGAAAATAAAAGATGTTTACTTTAGACGTGATGCGTTCATATAACAACAGACAGACAATTCCAAAAATTATAAAATGTTCTTATTTAATTATTTTCAGTTCATCATAATGATTTTAGCCACCAAAATATATATACAATGTACAGAAACAGACACAACATGTTATCATCATTTTTATTATATGTATATATTTAAAGAGAGATGGCGCTGCTAACATCAATTCTAAAAATAAAAGAGATTAATTGACGCGATTGATACATTATATAAAACGCAAGAGAACTTATAAATCAGTGCCTGCACAGTAAGCAAAAAATAAAGTTTGACTCTCGCCAAAACCAACGCAATTGTTAATAGCTCTTTTAAAATTTGATTTACCACATAGAGTACTCGGCGGTAAAGAATAAATTGAGTTTGTCAACACGCAGTAGGGCAGCGAGTAATATAATAAAGATTAGCAGTAAATATGAAAACTCATCTACAGGAAAAAACCACATTGCAATTGCATTACATTTTCACAACACCACCATCTATCGAAGAAATGGGTTAACTATTGTGCTTCAGATTTAGTTAATAAGGTTAATATATTTTTGTATAATATATTTAATACGTTCTTTAATACTTTTGTTTACTGCGTTTTAGATATACATAATTATATCATTATTTTACATAATTTAACTATGATTTATGATATGATATTAGTTTAAAATGCACTTGATGACTCAAACAAAGCCACCGTTGAGCAAATTCGTACCTATACTTCCCTACCCATACTTCAGAATATTTATCATAACTTTTGATGGAATGAACTGATTTTAACGAAATAAAGACTAAATGTAACCCGAAGATACACTTTATAATTTCCTTAACAATTCTTGTGATATAAATTAGTACTTTATACGTGATACGTTAACAAACAAACAGACAGACAGACAGACAGACAGACAGACAGAAAATTCTAAAAATGGTAGAAATGTATTTAATTACTTATTTTTAGTACCCCTCAATCACTTTTATTACAAAAATATAAAATGTACAGACATCTGCTATTTACAGTTTTATTATATGTATAGATTTATATTATATTAAATTTTATTATCTCTACCTAAATTTCAAACAGATTGCATATTCCTTTTATTGTCAATTACATTTTAGATTGTGATTTAAATATATATTAGCTCTTCACAAATAACGCACACTTAATGTTTATATTAATATAGCATTTTTATAAAACCAGGAGATCCATAGCACACGGTAACCAAGTTTGGGCTTCGGTGTCCCACAGTAACTGAAAATGTTTTAGTTATGTAAAATAAACATACCTAGAGTATATGTAAGAGAAATTAAATGTTTATTATTATTAAAAAAAAAAAACGCTTGTGTTTTAATTTCCCGCTATATTTTAGTAAAAGTCCTGATATATTGACATTTTTGCTTAATTCCCAAATCCCAACACAAACAGCGAGACCACTCCAATCGTCCGCAAAATAAACCAATCGCGTCCGCAACATCCACCCAGCCAATTAATTAAGCTACTAATTAATAGCTAACAACTTCCCGCCAATATTTTTACAAGTGGCCGACTTATTTTTCTAAAGATTCTGCATCATCCGTATTTATTTAAAATTAGTCCTTCTGGTTGAATATTTTTGCAATTTATATTATTTTTCCCCGACATCCTTTAAAGTTGTATAATATTTGTATGGACTGTTTCCAGCATTTGACTTTATTTTGATATTGTAATAATTAATGATGACTCACGGAGCCCTTCTTCCCGATAACGTTGTTGAGATCGATTTGGTTGTCTGGCCAGATGCAGATCGGCCGCACGTAGTCAGTATACTGTACTGGCTCGATCAGCTTCAAGATGGCGACGTCGCGGCTGAACGAGGACGCGTTGTATTGCGGGTGTACAATTATTTCTTCTACCTAAAAAAGAGAAAAAAAAACTATTGTTGATGGTTATACAGCCTTAGCGTCAATGCTTAGATAAGCAAGCTATGCTCAAGTATCCAGATTATAACGGCGTGGGGTGTAATTCCCTCGCTTGATGCTATAAGATGGTATGAAGGTTGCTATAATATGATAATTGATATGATATTAGCATGATAAGAAAACGATTGCTTGATTTGAATACCTGTAGTGCACTGATCGACGAGTATTGCGCATAAAGTGCTGTATTAGCATAGCTGAGTACCATTATATACATATAAGTAATTTTCTTTTAAGATAAGCAAGCTATGCTATGAGCTTACAGTCCACCTGATGGTAAGTGGTTGCTGTGGCCCATAGACATCTGCATCTATACTCAATTAAGAATCAAAATGCAGATGCGTTGTTACCCGTGAGGACTAAGATGAAATGCCCGTTTCCTAAAAAGGGTCTCCGGTTCTCTACACTCACCATACGTAACACAGCAGCGTTAAGCTGCTGTTTTACGCTGGTATTCAGAGATAGCGTGGTCCTTCCCCGGTCGAGTCGACCCATTCGTGTTACAACTATATCACTAATATAGTTGCAGCATGGCTCTACCACGTAATTATGTAATATGTACGTTCCATCGTACTAGCGGTATGGGAAATTAGAATTATGTGTAGACCTCAGGTTGTCGAAAAAGTCGCGCATGGGTAATGCCAGGGCAATATAGTAGTCACTAGATGATTTGATAAAAAAGTAAGTATACTTGCAGTCTATACGTGCCCCAGTACTGGGCACAGGGTTCTCTTATGTCTTCGAGATTTCTAAGACGTGCAAGTTTCCTCACGATGTTTTGGAGGCATCTATTAATTACGTTACTCTCATCATTGGGGGGTATTTGCCATAGTTGCCACGCTTGGCGAGCGGGTTGGCAACCGCAGTTTTTTTTATTGTAGTTTTGCTGTTATTAGGTCTTCCTGATAACAGCAAATGCTGCTGCCCATCACCTGCCTGTTTCCCTTTGTCGCCTTTTACGACAGCCACGGGAAGATATGGGGTAGTGGATATTCTTAACCGCCACTACACGGCCTTTATGGCATTCTTTGGGGGAGGCGTATGTTCAGCAGTGGACTTGTAAAGGCTGTAATGATGATGATGATGATTAATTACGTGATCGGAAAATGGGAAGGGGTCCGGCAAAATTTCACCAAATCTCCTTTAAACGGAAAAGTTTCAATGAAAATCTTACATCAACTTGTAATTTCAGATATATATTACTATATAATACTTTTTGTTTATAAAATAAGGGTGATAAACGAGTACAAAGTCAACCTCATGGTAAATAGATGCTGTAGCCCATAGATATCTATAAATACATCTACCCTCGATTAAGAATTACAATGCAGATTGCATTGTCACCCCCGAGGATTAAAATGGAATACCTCGTATCCAGTAAAAAGGTCTCCGGTCCCTTACACTCACCATACGAAACATAACAGGACCAAGCTACTATTTTACGTTGGTATTCTGAAAGAGCGCGGGCCTTTCGACTGCGCCAATCCATTCGTTCTACAACTGTAATATAGCTGCACCGTGCATTTTATTTCTTAAGCAAAGATATATACACATGTCTACTGGTCATAGTATCCACTTACCATCAGGTGGATTGTGTGCTCGTTTTTCACCTTTATTATATAAAGAAAAGCTCCACTGTTACGCCACTGACTGGTTATGGTCGAAGGTTCGGAACTTGGTATTTTACTCACCAGTCTAATCTGAACGCCTTTGACAGAAGTCCTCAAGTTATGTTTCCCCAGGTACACCGTGAGGGTGTTCTTGTTGACGACTCTGCTGGAGCCCTTGCGCGTGACGCAATGCGCGGCCGTGATCACGTGCAGGTGCGTCACCAGCGTCCCGCCACAGATGTACTTGCTGTCCACCGTCTGAAATGACACACATTATCATTGACCCATTATCTATTATACGTAAGTATATAAGGTAAGATATGTGGAAGTGGCTCAGGACAGTGCTTTGTGGCATTCCTTGGGGGAGGCCTATGTTCAGCAGTGGACTTGTGAAGGGCTGTCATAATGATGGTGATGATGATACGAAATACCACTGACTCGCTCACTCATCGCGAGATCTCCAAAACTATACGCCTGATTGACTGGAAATTTGGTATTATACTGCTTTCTCGACTTAGACACTCAATAAGACAAGATTTTGGAAAATTCAGTCCCTGAGGGGGTGAAATAGGGTGTTACAGCTTATAAGTAAATAATGTAATGTCCTCCAGACCGAATTTGGGTCACGGCGGCTAGCTATCTGCGCAGGACAGGATTATAGTGGCCGAGTGCACAAGCACAGGTGCACTCTCTATTCCCCCACTATCATAGTCCGATGGGACGGTAAACTGAAACCGGAGAGATTCGGCCCAAGGCTTTACGCGCTTTTCTAGGCACGGGGGTGAAACACCGCCCAGATCCTGATTCCGGGCAGCTACTGAGAATTTCTTGACACAAAAAAATCAATAACTAATTTATATCTGACCCAAGCCGGGATTTGAACTCGGGACGTCATGGTCAGCAATCGCGTTTACGACCACTTGATCAACGAAGCAGTCATAAGTACATAAGTAGCTGGAGTCCTGAAATACAGGGACACCCTAGTTTAGACTCCAGTCCGCCGCAAAGACATCACAATAATAGACAACATATTTATTTCTTACTGCAACGAGGATGGAATTACAGCAGAGCTTTTGAAAGCGGGTGGAAAACCGGTACTTGAAGTCCTTCAGAAGCTCTTTAATTCCGTCCTCCATGGTGGCATTACACCGGAGGCGTGGAGCAGAAGTGTGGTGGTCTTGTTCTTCAAGAAAGGCGACAACGCTCTCTTGAAGAACTACAGACCGATTTCCCTTCTGAGCCGTGTCTACGTGCTGTTTTCGAGAGTCATTACGAATCGTCTCGCACGCAGACTTTACGACTTCCAGCCTCCCGAACAAGCCGGTTTCCGAAAAGGCTTTAGTACCATAGACCACACACCCTTCGGAAAACTGTACAGAAGACAGAAGAGTATTATCTGCTACTTTGCCTTGCGTATGTGGACTTCGAGAAAGCCTTTGATTCCGTTGAAATTTGGGCGGTGCTGCAGTCCCTTCAGTGGTGCCAAGTTGATTGTCGGTATATTGAAGTACTAAAGTGTTTGTGCAGAAGGGCTACGAAGGCTATCCGAGTACAGAATCAAAGTACGAAACCTATCCAACTACAGAGAGGTGTAAAACAGGGTGACGTTTTATCCCCGAAATTCTTCACCGCTACATTGGAAGACGTTTTTAAGCTACTGGACTGGAAAGGATGCGGTATTAACTAACATCAATGGCGAGTACATCACTCACCTTCGATTTGCCGACGATATAGTCCTTATGGCAGAATCGCTGGAGGACCTAGGCACTATGCTCAATGACCTCAATAGTGTCTCCCAACGAATAGGTCTTAAGATGAACATGGACAAAACAAAAATCATGTTTAACGTCCATGTCACACCTATGCCGGTAGTTGTTAGGAGCACTAAGCTCGAAGTTGTTGACGAGTATATTTACCTGGGACAAATAGTCCGATAGGTAAGTCCAACCTCGACCGAGAGGTCAATCGACGGATTCAACTCGGCTGGGCAGCGTTCGGGAAACTACGACACATCTTCTCGTTAGACATACCTCCAAATCTGAAAACGAAATTGTACAACCAGAGCGTGTTGCCAGTGATGACTTACGCATCTGAGACGTGGTCCTTCACTGCTGGCCGTATGAGGAAGCTCAAGCTCGCTCAGTGAGTTATGGAAAGGGCTATGCTCGGGGTTTCTCTGCGTGATAAACTTAGAAATGAGGATACCTGCAGTAGAACCAGAGTAACCGACATAGCCCAACGGATTAGTAAGCTGAAGTGGCAGTGGGCCGGCCATATAGCTTGAAGAACCGACAACCGATGGGGAAGAAAGGTTCTTGAGTGGCAGCCTCGTACCGGTAGGCGAAGTGTAGGGCGACCCGCCACGAGATGGAGTAACGACCTGGTAAGACATGCAGGAAGTCGATGGATGCAGGTGGCTCAGGACCGTGCTTTGTGGCATTCCTTGGGGGAGGCCTATGTTCAGCAGTGGACTTGTGAAAGGCTGTAATGATGATGATAATGATGACTGTAACTTGCTTTTACAAAACATTAATTTTATAAAAAAATAATCACTTAACAAAATTCAGAATAATGCTACAGTAACAAACAGAGTTACCGCTGAGTTGATATTATGTCGGAGCCACATAATGTTAAGTTGTCTCGCTAGCAAACGTTGGACACAATTTAGTACCTATTTTATAACTTATAATCTAATTGTTATACATATCTGTTACATTACATATGTACATTAAACTTTTAGAGCCTTGTGGAATATTTACAGACGATGGCAGGAGACCCGACGGTATGACATTGGTCCCTTGGGAGAGAGGTAAAGTTCTAGTGTGGGATGCCACTTGCGTAGACACTGGCGGCCTCTCATCTCAGGGGTACCTCGTTTAGAGCCGGGGCGACATCAGAGACAGCTGAACTGAATAATATAGTGGCGCAAATATGAGCCTTTGAGAGACGACTTCATATTTGTGCCATTTGCTGCAGAGACTATCGGTCCACGTGCGGTGAAGTTTCTAAAGGAACTCTATCCGCGATTGGTCTGCTGGTGATAAGAGGGCTGGTTCATTTCTCTCTCAAAGGCTAAGTATAGCCATTCAGCGAGGAAACGCAGCCAGCGTTCTTGGCTCGATACCACGACGAGTAGGATTGTATGATAATTAAGTTATTAGTTGTAGTTTTTTTAATTATAGTTTTTTAATATTGTATATAATAAAATAATGTATATTATGTAATTAAATGTATAATATATAAATTTAATATTAAACTAGCTAGCTCTAATCTACTTTATGACTCTGTGATGCTAAGTATATTATATTATTATTCTATACTCTATAGCCCAAACTGAAAGTTTGTGAACAAAACCGTAAAAAAGAAATTGGTACTTCTGTTACGTTTGCTAGTAGTTTATATGCATTTATAACGGAGAAATAAATATAATTTTCATTTCATTTCACTTTCATTTTACCGCAATGCACATTATACACTTCTTTTTTAAATTTTATCTTTCTTAAAGCAAATCGCATAATTCTACAATTAATAAATAATTCGCAAAGTCACCTGTTTACATAGGCCTAATTTAGATTCTCTCATAAGGGGATATTTGGCGTAGTGGCCATACTTGGCAGGCGCAACCGAGGTTATTAATAATTTGGGTTGTTTTGTGGAACATGTTGCCCATCGGTTGTTTCTTTTCCCACTGTCGTCTCTTACGACACGTACGGGATGATATGAGGTAGTGAATTATCTTGCGCCACCACTACACAGCTAAGCTAAACTCCGCGTATTAAGCCCGGTTTCCACCGCGAGCGGAACGGACACATTAATTACTCCTTTTACCTCGCAATATAAAACTGCATACATGTGTTTCCACCAACAAAGAGTCGAGTGTAAATGACAACGAGGGCGAAAAGAGTAAAAATGAGCTGCGGACTCGGACCGGAGTCATTAATGAGTCCTTTCAACTCGCAATTGAATTTTACGAAGTGGTGTTTCCCCCGAAAAAGAGTTGAGCGGAGCGGACCAAACGAGTAACATGTGTCCGCTGCGTCGCGGTCTCTCTGACTAGTTTGAAACGGACTCGCTCGACGCTGTTGTTTTAAAATTTTAAAATGTCGGCCTTTACAAATGACAAAAGTTCTTGAAATTGTTCTCTGCTACCCCTGTAGTAGTTCTTAAATTTTTCGTCGTTCAAATTATTGAATAGCCTATATTCCCCTTTCAACGTTTTTTGTCGAATGTGGCGACATAACCAAAATCTCTGTCTTGCAAGTTTTTTCTGTGCTTAGGATATAATAATATATACTTTTTCTTTCGGTATACATAATCACTGTCCTCACTTGATTCCGTGTCACTCGATAACATCGCGAATTCACACAACAAAACAATACTTCACGTAACCAGTTCAGAACTCCAATTGAACTCACTCTCGGTGGAAATTGACTATTCATTTCCCATTTCTCATATTCCGTTCAGCTCGCTCCGCTGATTCCTCTCTGTCGTTATCCGTTTGCAGTGGAAATGAACAGGCAAAACTCTATGTTGGTGGGAATGCAAACCTATTTTGTTTAAAAGGAGTCCGTTCCGCTCACCATTTCCCACTCATTACCCTTCCGCGGTGGAAACCGGGCTTTACTCCTTGCCCGAAAACATAAGAAGCCAAGTAAGGAGTGTTTTAAAAAGTTGGTACATGTCTTTTATTTTAAACGAAGCTATGTTGGACGTTGATATACTTTGATACATTTAGATGTTTTATTATTTGCAATTTCAGTATATGTATTTTATTATCATATGTAACGCATATTATGTTATGTCTATATATCATACATATTTTGTTCATATATTTACATAAACTATATGTAAAGCTTTTGTATATTATATGTATACCTTAGTACGTATATACACGTATATATATGTATTAAGATGTACATATATATAATACCACAAAATCTCATCATTCCACGGGTTGGCTGAGAATACCGGCATGTTGCCTTAGTTATTAGATAAGATTAAATAATCAATAAAATAAATATTACACGTATTTAATTATAAAATTACCTGAGTTTGATAAAGTGCTATTTGCCAAGGCCACTGTCCCTCCAACGTCGGCTTCCCGTTCACAATTAGAGGGTTAGGTTTGTTTATTGTCACCTTTCCACATTGACTCTGAAAATAACATAGAAATAGTTTTAGTTAAGTTCGCTTCCCTGTAGGTTATGAAGTTTCCAACTGTTGTGATTTTGAGAGAGAATCCCATGTTTTATTCTATGATTATTAAGCCTGTGGTAAACATTACTGTTACCTATCATCGGTTGTTGGCTTAAAGATGTGAAAATTAATAAACTAAGTTCTGCGCGGTGTTGACTTTATTGCTTTTTTTGGGTAACGGTGACGAACGAGCACACAGTCCACTTGATGCTAAGTGGTCGCTGTGGCCCATAGACATCTGCATCTATCCTCTATTACGAATCAAAATGCAGATGCGTTGTCATCCGTGAGGACTAAGACGGAACGCCTCACTTCCAGTAAAAAGGGTCTCTGGTTCTCTACACTCACCATACGAAACAGCAGCTTTAAGCTGCTATTTTACGCTGGTGTTCTGTGAGAGCGTGGTTCTTCCCCGGTCGAGCCGACCCATTCGCGCTACAACTACACCAGTAATGTAGCTGCAGCATAGCTCTACCACGTATAAACACGTCGCTGTCGTAACACATAGCGCAACAAGTTTTAGTCAATTTTTTTTCTGAATTGCCAGTCTACTATGATAGGGCCACGAAATTGGGGGGGGGGGGGCTGCTGGGGTCATCCGCCAAGTACAAAAACTTTAAACATCAAAGGTTGTATATAAGGGTTATTAAAATATTAAGGTATTTGTGGACGATAATAACCCCTAGGAATATATGGTGATCGCTATCAAGCTATATCTAATTTGTTCCGTGTTGTTTCTAGTTATTTGTGTAACATAATATATGATTGTAAACTGTTCTTTATCCAGGGTTTATATATGGGTTTCATGTTGTTCTTCACAAGACAGAGGTATTTACCGAACTAGTTGTCAATCTATATCTATACAAATAAATAAAATTGAAGTGTCTGTTTGTAATGTCAAAACAACAGCTTTTTGTCTGTTTGTTTCGGCTAATCTTCGAAGCGGTTGGACCGATTTTGACGGAACTTTCACTGGCAGATAGCTGATGTTATAAAAAGTAACTTAGGCTACTTTTATTTTAGAAAACTAATTGGGGTTCCGCGCAAAAAAATTAAAACCCTACATAGCATGCGGGCGAAGTCGCGGGGAACAGCTAGTTAAACATAAGCATGACTTTCAATAAGTATTATTTATAATGTATATTGAATAAAAAAAAATCTATTTCTATAAGAGTCAAAAAAGCACAAACAACACGCACTACTATGAGCTGTAATGGTACTACATGAAATTATTGTATTGTAATCGGTTCATATACGTCAGGAAAAAATTTGATTATACAGACGTTTGGGCGTGGGTGGTATTATAAAATTCCATTACTAACATTCAGACAATTAAAGCTAATAATAAAAACGTCTTAATTAAAAACTCTACTCTTTTATATTCCAATAATGGAGATTGTTATTCTGACCCAGGTTATTCTTAAAAAAAAAATTGCAATAAACTTTTAAAGCTTTAATTTTTAATTGAATAAATGGTTACAAATATTAGTTTACAAGCTGGTGGTAAGTCACCAATCATACCAACCGCAACCCGGTATAAGCAACATAGATGATAATATTTTTTTTTCTTGTAAACCTAAGAATAGTTTCAATGGAACCGGAAAATCGAGTTGTTAGTGATTCTGCCCGTGAGAGAAGATGCTCGTTTGAGCCTCGTTTGGGTGAATATTTGTGAATATAATAATTAGATAAATTAGATAATCAACATCAGATACTCGTAATTAAGACCAATTGATGATGAGAAATCAGTAAGCTGAAGTGACAACGAACCGTTTTGGCTAGGCGAGAAAAAGTGTAAAATTCTTCCGTCATGACCCCGTTGTATAGTGCGAGCGAGATGGAATAATATCCATCTTCCTTGCACTTTTTCTTATCTTGCCATGAAAGAAATATTATTTTATTTTAAATGACGCTTCATTTTAATAGACGCTAGTAATTCATTTATTTGTATTTGTTAATCAGTAATATAATATGTTTATCAATAATAATATACTACGAAAGGAACTTCCTTCTAACCGAGTGTTCCACGACACTCACGCATGTTTTTTTTATCATAGTCATACATAGCACAAAAAGTCTATTGGCAAGTATGTTACATACATACATAGACCATTTGCCATTTTTAGGGTTCCGTACTCAAAGGGTAACCAACGGGACGCTATTACTAAGCTTCCGCTGTCCGTCCGTTCGTCCGTCCGTCTGTCTGTCAGCGTGCTGTATCTCATGATCCGTAATAGGTAGACAGTTGAAATTTTCACAGATTGTGTATTTGTGTAACAATAAATAACAAAAATTAAAATATAACAAAAATTAAAATAAAACAAAAATTAAAAGAGGCTCCCCTACTAGGTACGCAACTCTTAATGCGAGAGTCCGACTCGCACTTGGCCGGTTATTATTAGACGCGAGGATGAAAAACAAGCACACCGTCCCCCTGATGTTTTTTCTGATGGTAAATGGATGCTGTGAATCGAAATGCAGATGCGTTGTCACCTACGAGCACTAAGATAAAAGGTTCCCCGGTTCTCTACACTCATAGCACGAAACACAGCAGCATCAAGCTGCTATTTTGTGAAAGCGTGGTCCTGACCCGGTTAAGCTGCCTCATTTATCCACTACTATAACATAGTTGCAGTATGGTTCTACCACGTTTGAAATGGTAAGTGGATATGTGAATATATGGACCACCATATATTCACATCTATATCTATCATCGATTAAGAATCAATATGCAGATGCATTATCACACTCGAGAGTAAGATGAAGTGCCTCGTTACGGTTTTCTTAAATATTTATAACGCGGTAAATTACCACCTAATATTTGCAATTGTATGATTATTTCAGTGGCGGCGGGGATCCGATACGGTTTACTCGTGTACTTTCAAGATTATTCATTAAGCATCATACAATTATTGGTCCTTCACTACTGGCCGGATGAGGAAGCTCAAGGTCCCTCAATGAGCTATGGAGAGGGCTATGCTCGGAGTTTCTTTGCGTGATAAACTTAGAAATGAGGATATCCGCACTAGAACCAGAGAAACCGACATAGCCCAACAGATTAGTAAGCTGAAGTGGCAATGGGCCGGCCATATAGCTCGAAAAACCGACAACCGATAGGGAAAAAAGGTTCTCGAGTTGCGGCCACGTACCGGCGTACGAAGTGTAGGGCGTCCCCCCACTAGATGGAGTGACGACCTGGTAAGATATGCAGGAAGTCGATGGATGCAGGTGACTCAGGACTGTGCTTTGTGGCATTGCTTGGGGAAGGCCTATGTTCAGCAGTGGACTTATGAAGGGCTGTAATGATGAAGCAATTATTCCTGAGTCGTTCGACAGTATGCCGTATTTATATTTGACATTACTCTGCGAGTAGTACAAACGCACAGAATGTATATGTTATGGATAAAGTGACTATTCAGGGCATTATTTATAATACCCGGGCAATATAAATAATGACAAGATTTAAACTTCGTTATTTAAAACATTGTTTGGTCATAACACAATATTACTTGTCTTTTTAACCCCCGACGAAAATGTTCCATGTTTTTAGTGTGTGTATCTGTGTGCCTGTCTGTCGTATTATGACTCCTGAACGGATGAATCGATTTTTATTAAGTTTTTTTCGTTTGAAATGTATCTTAATGAACAGTATTCTTACCTATGTTAGAAGAAAACCGTTTGTTTGTGTGTGTCTGTTTAGCCGTTTGAGGATCACCAGCTCATTATTTTTCGGGGTTTTTAAATTTTTTTAATTTAAGTTATTATTTCTGTACCCAATAAGTAACGGAGAGTCCGTTGTTTTTCTGCCGACTTTCAAAAAGGGTAATCAATTCGACTGTATGTTTTTTGATGTGTGTTACCTCATAACTTTTTACTGGGTGAACCGATTTCGATGATTCTTTCTTTATTTGAAAGCTTGATACTTTTCGTGTGGTCCCATAAAATTTTATCAAGGTTAGACTAATAGATTTTGAGTTATTATTAATAACTTATATTGCAGTCGGCTGTACAAAATGTTTAATTTTAAATTATTTATAGTATAAGGGTGACAAACAAGCATACAGTTCACCTGACGGCAAGTGGTTGCTGTGGCCCATAGATATCTAGACATCTATCTACGTTTGCGAATCAAAATGCATTACGGGTGACACGTGAGGACTAAGATGGAATACCTTTTCCAGCAAATAGGGTCTCCGGCTCTCTACACTCACCACACGAAACACAACAGCTTTAAGTTGCTATTTTACGCTGGTATTCTGTGAGAGCGTGGTCCTTCCCCGGCCGAGCCGACTTCGTGTTACAACTATACTATTAATATAGCTGCAGCAGGCTCTACTACGAATATTATTCACGAAGCCCGGTCAATTTAACTATTTCAATAGTTTGTATCATATTGCCTACTATTATTGGGCATTTTTCAAACTGTATAGACATTTTGAGTAATGCCCTATTAATAATTTGGTCCAGAACATATTCGATACTGACGTCGCAATTCGCGGAATGCAAACCGGATTTTGATAATAAATTCTGTGAGTAAAGTGCTCTGCAGCCGGTGACGGGACTTTACCGACGCGTGTTTTCGAAAACGCTCTTTTTTAACATTGGAATAATAAATGGTTAAAGAGAAATAAATTATGTTTACTAAGCAAAGACTTCTACATAAACTAGTGTGATATAATATAGATAGTATAAAACAAAGTCGCTTCCCGCCGTCGGTAGGCTTAGGTCTTTTAAACTACGCAACGCATTTTGATGCGGTTTTCATCAACAGACAGAATGACTCAAAAGAAAGGTTTATATGTATAATACATGCATATTATAATATATTATATAATTCTTCCGTCCGTGTGTATGTCACTGAACTCCTTTTCCTAAATTTTGGGTGTGTGATTAAGTTGAATAGAGAATGGTTTAGATTCACAATTGGACCGGGTAGGTGGCGTTGTTATTGAGATCCA